CAGGATGTTTTAAGCCTAACAAAGATAAAACGTCCCATTAATAGATCCTCACACTGACTGTTAGGTAAATTGATGGGAGAGTCATGATTTAGGGATCAGCTCACCATTATGGAATCCACGATGAATCTTACTATTTTACAGGGTGCATAAGGGAATTGTAAGACCATGAAAAAACTACAAATACCTGAAACAGAAGTCTGCAACATAATTGACCCCAAACACACAAGAGTGTTAAATAGAAAAGCAAAGCCCTTATTGTTTATTCCTCAGATACTTTAGGGTGCCTTGAAACGGGCATGAAGTTATGAAGTTATAATCCATATTTATTCTACCATCATGCTTTTTGTGAGTTAAACAAAAATTAGGTATGGTTTACGGACTTCCTACTCCACATTAATATATATCTACAAGCAGTTGAATGGAGTGCAGTGCAGAGGGCACTCTTAAAGACCTTTTATGACTGTTGTAGCATCACCCATCGTCTACAGAGCTGTCTGTTGGAGCAGTGGCTGAGAGAAAGCTGCTGGATAAACTGATCAGGAAAGCCAGTTCTGTGATTGGATGCCCTCTGGACTCAGTGTAGGAGGTTGGAAACAAAAGGATCCTAACTAAACTAACATCTCTGTTGGATAATATCTCCCACCCCATGCAGGAAGCTGTTGCAGAACTGGAGAGCTCATTCAGTGACACACTGCTGCACCCTAAATGCACCAGGAAGCGTTATCACAGATCCTTTCTCCCAGCAGCTGTAAGACTCTATAACCACCACTGTTCACAACAACCTCATTAAGTTGTTACATTTATGCTGATTTTTGCAGTTTCTATCTTAGTTAAATAACATGCTGCTGTCATTTTGCAAATGTCTGATGTTGCTGCTATTTTTAAATATCCATAAAAATGTCCATAGCTGTACATTGGTTATTTATTCTCCAAATGCACAGTTTTTTATATTGTTAAAACACTTTACAGTACGGTATTTCATTTCTTTATTTTTTAACTCTTCACTATAATGTTATTCTTATGCATTTTTCTAAGGTCCATTTTTTTTAACCATTTTTTTCTTTTATCTTTTTGCTGCTGTGGGACAATTAAGGATTTTCTATTCTATTCTATCAATTTACTTTGAATTTAATATTTTAAGACCAGTTCTTATTTATTTAGATGCACTGAACAGTTTTGCAGTGTAGTTGAAGCCATGGATGCACCACCTCTCATGACGGTCCGAACTGATCGGATGAGATTCAGTATCTGAGCTTTGACTCCTGGATCATCCCCGAAACCTCCAACTCCCTGATCAGCACCCCATCCCACTGGAAACACACACAGAGAAAGAAAATATACTAATAAACATATCCGTAGTTTGATTTAAACTCTTTAAATATCTGCTCATCATGTTATTCACAGACTGAGTGATGATGAGACACATTAAAAGTCTTTTTACTTCACATGAACGCTTACTTTTGCTGAGAAACCTTTCTTCATGCAACACGGCGATGGCATTGATGCATAGAATAGCGGTCTGGATGAGGGTGTAAAGAGTAAACGCCATGCTGGCAACTCCTGTTTTAGCCCCGCCCTCTTCTCTGTCGTCATTGTCCACACGGGACATCACAGCCGTAAAGAAATGTTAAGTGTCGGGAAGGCGGCGCGAGCGGTAGTTGTTGTAGTTCAACGTCTCTCCCTTTTTTATAAAGTAACCTGTGATGTTCGGTGCATTAGAAACAGAAGCGGAGCTAGATGGGGGGCCACTGGTGGCCACTCTTAGCCATTAATTTGCCACCCCTACCATTTTCCCCCCTCTAATACAGATGGTGGCAGCAGTAATACTCTCAAGTGAAATTTTCATTTTAATTTTTCATATATTACTTACTATTTTTTCATGTATTCATAATTTTTTGACAACAAAAACACTGTGGTTAATTATACACATCAATAAAGTGCCATTAAAGATGATAAGTACAGAATTCATGTTCTTTTCAGAACTAGATTTCGTGTTATATGGGGTAAAGAGAAATGTATGTGTCTCTGAAAGG